ACCAGAAGTGTTGAAACAAAATGGCTATTTTTGTAGTGATTTTATAACATTTTTATGTTATAATTTTCGAATAAATAATTATATTTGCTCTACTTTGTACTGAGTACTCTTTTAAGAATAGTATTTGTCGGTTATTGGAATTTATTCTGTATACACCAATCCTATATATATATATATATATATATATATATCAGAGTTGTCCTTCTCCTAGACCAGTTGCCATCCAAGGCTATAGAACCCAGTCTGTCCTACTATTTTACCCATAGCTGGAGGGAGAGGAAGAAGATTCATAACTTTCCCAAGGGTATTAATGGATTCGACTGGAATTCGAATTCGGCTCTGCGATTCCTCAATCCAAGCCGCTATCCATTACTCCACCGTGCCTCCTCATTCAAAACCTGCGGAGGGTTGTTTGGGAACCTTGTGGCATTCGGTGCACCAGGGCTCTGTATTCGTCCCTTCAAAAAGTGTGGATGGTCCTGCACGAAGCCTTCACCACTATAATCAAATCTCATGTGCCGTTGTCGGGCTGTCGGTTTCCTGAAAACTGATCTGCTTGACCCTCATACGTCGAGTCTCGACAGGAGAGTCGATTATATATATATATATATATATATATATATATATATATATATATATATATATATGAACGCGTATTCAGAAAGTAATTACATTTAATTAGAAAGGATACAAAAACAGAGGTAAGTTAAATTGATTTCAACATTATAAAAGAAGAAAACGACGGTCACCTAAATGAAAGCCAAATCTTTGAATCCATATCTTAAGAATTTATGTTTTCAGGAGAATGTCTAAATATTTGTTTACTAATTCTTTTTTTAAATGAATGTTCTAACAAAAATGTTTTTAGTAATCTAAACAAATGAAAATCTCTGGTTGCCATATTTGGTGAGTATGAAGGTTGGGGAAGAACTTCCCATCCTATTTATTATTTTATTTTTTATTTATTTATTTTTTCCGTCTCTTTCCTTGCATTTTCCTGCAAAAGAATAACACCTTTTCAATGTAACCAAATCAAGACACATTCGATCTATTGCTTCTTCTACTCAATCAAGATGCTGGCAATAAACGTTTTCAGTAATAATTCCATAGATTTATCGGAATTCTGATCTTCATGAGCGGTGTTATGCGAAACTCTGGAGTCGGTCAAAAGATATGTTGACGCATTTCACAATTTATTCAATATTTGCATCTACAGGATTTTTCACCTCACCTTCCATAATCATACTTATTATAAAACCCAGGTTGCGTGTGTGTGTGTGTCCGTACGTTTATATATTGGATCGGATTTCCTACATTTTTCAACCGATTTCAACAAAACTTCACAGGACTACGTAAAATTACCTTGCGGTGGTTCTGACAGCGCCAAAAAATTGGAAAAAACACAATTGTTTTGCACAAAATCAATTTTGAAAACACGATTAAGAGGCATCGCTAGAATGAAAGGGGACAACTCATATCGAGTTATACTTATTATAAAACCCAGGTTGTGTGTGTGTTCGTTTATATATGGGATCGGATTTCCTACATTTTTCAACCGATTTCAACAAAACTTTACTTTTATGTTGGCAGGTAGTGTTTCTTATTATCTTGCACACTTTTTTCTTTATTTTTACATTCAGAATGCTTTAAAAATTCCATTTACAAGACAATTGTTTATAATAAAATTCTATTCATAACGATTGAAAACAATGTTTTTGTTTGAGTTTGGGTTTGACCAATTCGTAAAAAAAAAAAAAAAAAAAACTAATTAAGACATGCGTGTCCGTCAACCTTAAACAATAATCTTTGTCAATTTTATTTTTCAGTCTTTATAATGGTCGATACTTGATCTATCTCTTACTGTTACATCCCCGGGCAACGCTGGGCTCTACTGCTAGTTATAAATAAAATTTCAATATCTCAAATTTTCATGGAAACTTCATGTGCATTTTTTCACAAATGATGAAATAAAGGATTTGAAAGAATTTGCAGTGATGCCCACAACAAAATTTTTAATTTAAAGCCAATCAGCAATAATAAAAAAAACAACACTGAAATCATTTAACATAAGATAAAATTATCGGCCCTCTAGCCTGAATAATCAATTATATAACCTTTATTATTGATTATTGCCTTTAATCATTTTTGATAGATCGTTACAAGATTACTACACATATTGATAGGTATTTTGTTCCATTCTTCTTTGGAAATAGTTTCTAGTTCCCCCAGATTCGAAGAACTTCTTTCTCTTACTTTTTTCTTCAAATATACCGATTAATTTTCAATGGGGTTTAGGTCAGAACTTTGTGCGAAGTTCACCAGTACCTTAATTTTGCTGTCATTTAAGCATCTTTTAATAATTCGTGCCGTGTGGTTCAGTTCATTGTCATATTGAAACGTCTAGTGACGCCCCAAATATAGCTTTCGTGTACTTTGTTTTATATCATTTTAAAGAATAACTAAATACTGATCTTTATCCACGATACCCGGTACTGTAACTCTTTTCTTTGTTTCTAGCGATGTTTTGCTGTTTCTTAATTCTTTACTTAGTTTTTGTAAGGCATCTTTTCCTATTCTAATACGCCTTCGGATTTCAGTGTCGCACTTTCCATCTTCTATTAAGACACTCCTGAGATATTTAAATTTTTGGATTTGTTTGATTTCAACTTTTTGCTAACAACTTTGATTTTTGTCTTCTTGCAGTTGATAAATAGTCCTTTCTTCTCGCTTTCCTTTGCAACTTTTTCTTGGAGTTTTTGTAATTTTCTTACTCAATCTAAAACAAAGACCAAATTTAGTACTGAGGTAGTAGCGTTGGTGGATGGAAATCAAAGAAAACTTTATATATCTTTTTTTTCATTTATTCCTGTTGTAAATTGCCATTTATTTCTACATCGAATAAAAGCAATTTTTCCAAACAGTGAAAATATATTCCTTCCCTCTTTTTCTATATATATTTTTCTCCAAACGAGTCTCTTTCTATGTTCGTGCAAAAATCAATTATTGAACCACACAATGACTTTGATCCACGTTGTTTGAATAGATTTACTCTTCAAACACCTGTCATAAGCGCATGCGCGAATCCTTCTAACATCGACTCACATAAGCAAACAAGTTTGTATTAAACTAATTAACATTTTCTCCAAGTTCTATAGATTAAATTTTATGTTGGAATGTTTTTAACATTTATTATTATTATTATTATTATTAGACTTCGCAGATGATATCATCCTAAGAGAGCATACATCATTTTAGGAGATACCCAGTGCTATCCGCATCCACGTTGAGCTAACCAGTAGGTCTTAATATACATCATGTCCTGTTTAACAGACACAATAAATCATCGCCAGTTATTGTATGCGTAAAGGCCATAACAAAGCAGATATGTGTATCTCGGAAAGAAGTTTGCAAGAGTTGGCTTCCTGCTTCCGTAGGTGAGAAGAAGGATTGTCTTTGGCTGGGCGTCTTTTGGGAGAGCTTATAGCGTCATATGACGTCAACATTCGAAACTAAGAGAAAGTTATTTAATGAATATGCTCTGCCGGTGATGATTGTGGAAGTGAGACATGGACGCTCAACGCCACCATTGCAGAGACTCTTGCAGTGGCCCGTCTTAAAATGGGGCGAACCATGCTCAGTATCACCTCACCTGACAGAAAGAGCAAGACACGGATTCGACAGCAGACCTTTAGTGAAGAAAGGAAACGGGATCATCAAATATGGCAAACGTAGATAGGCTGCCCACGTCTCTCGTTTCAGAGACCACAAATGGACTATTAGAGCGACAGAGTGAACACAAAGGCAATATAAGCGAACGAGAGGGCGACCAAAGGTAAGATGGCGCGAAAATATGACCCGGTTCCTCGACCTCACATGGCCCAGTATGGCTAGGGATAGGAAGTGGTTAAGATCAACTAAAGAGTGAAGGATATAATCGGGTCCATCAAGAATGACAAACGTAGATGGGCTGCCCACGTCCCTGGACTCAGAGGCCACAAGTGGACTATTAGATCGACAGAGTGGGACAAAGGCAATAGAAACGAAATATAAGGCTGCCCAGGTCTCTCATCTCAAAGGCCCCAAGTGGACTATTAGCGCGACAGAGTGGACACCAAGGGAATAGAAACGAACTGTAAGGCTGCCTATGTCTATCGTCTTAGAGGCCACAAGTGGACTATTAGAGCGACAAAGTGGACACCAAGGCAGTAGAAACGAACGAGAGGGCAACCAAAAGCAAAAATCCGCAAAGATATGACCTGATTCCTCACATGGCCTAATATGGTTAGGGATAGTGGTTAAGATCAACCAAAGAGGGAATAGTATAATTAGGCCCACCAAGAATGGCAAACATAGATGAGCTGCCCATGTCTCTCGTCTCAGAGACAACAGGTGGATTATTAGTAGACACCAAGGCAGTATAAAAGAACTATAGGGTGACCAAATGCAAGGTGGCAACAGATTGGCGCCAAGGCAGTGGAAAATAACTAGAAGGCGGGTAAAGGTAAGATAGTGCGATGATCTGACCTGATATCTGGGGCACACATGATCCAGTAGGGGCAGAGATGGGAAGAAGCAGAGGTCAACCAGAGAGTGCTTCCAATAATATGAGCGAGAAGGCCCTAAATTTGGATTTAGATTATTTCGAAGTAATAAAATGGATTTTTCTAGATAATCTGCACAGTGTGACCAAACACTTTCTATTTGATAGATTTGGGCGTTCGTAATTTTGAAATGAAAAAAACCAAGTCTACTTAAATTTAATTTCAAGCTGTGTCATGATTACGTTTTGTGTTTGACGATAAAAAAATACTGTAAATATGAATCAAATATAATGTCCATCAGGAACCTTGATCTACGAAGTGTTTATCTGTGGTGACCCCAATATGTGCTGGTTAACTCTAAGAGGTACCAACATAACTTTTGTACGCGGTGTCACGTTAGAAAGACAACACATTTAGGAGTCCAGAGGTTTGACCTATAAGGTAACCTCAAAGCCCAACCCCTCGTCCTCGTCGTGGGAAGTGGAAAAAGGTAATGCTGGCCAACGGGACACTGGTGAAGCTGTGACTGGCTTAGCAGGCCGACAGTGCATAAAAAATTTCCCCAAGGAAACAAAAGGAGATACAAACTGAGTAAAGAATATGTAATCAGAAGATTTCAGTAAATGCACCAAAATAAACATCAAGTAAACGCATATGAACTTATGCCAATGCAAAAAAATAAATAAATAAAACGAAAGACCGTTTTTTTTTTACACAAAGGACCATGTTTGCTGTCTTCTCATTCTCTTTCATTCCTAGTAACTCATTGCATCGTAATAACATTATTATTATTATTATTATTATTATTATTAATAATAATAATAATAATAATAATAATCAAAAGACATGGAATTCAGGAATTTTATGTTTATTGACATAGTTGTACTATCTGAGAGAAACACCTCCATGAAAATTATCGAGAAATTGTCCAAATACAAGAACCTGGAGATCAAGATTAACATTATGTTAAGTAGGGGAATGAAGACTGAGACTGTACCAATAGTAATCGGAGCACTGGGCCTCGTGAGAACAGGAATGGACAGTTTTACAAACAGTGTCCCAGGTAACATCAACATAGAAGTTGCCCAGAAGATCACCCTACTAAGAAGATCCCATATACTAAGAAAAATGCTATCAATTAAATGAAATTCTCCTAAAGGGACTAAGGACCCTAGTTTGGACCTGGCACTACAGGATGCAAAGCAGGAAACATAACATACACAAATGATAACCTCGAAATCTAAAAAAAATGAGGCACATGAGAATATCAATAATTCCAGTTGTAGTTGGAACACTCGGATTGATTGGAAAAGGTATTGATAGACTCATTGAAGGTATTCCTAGTTTAATTTAATTGCTATAATGTTGAGTTATACCACTTGATACCGAACTTGTTTACTTATTTCAAATTTAAATATTTTTTTTGTTTTTATTTCTTCGTCTTTCGAGCTTATGAATTTGAACGATATAAATTATAATTAATTCTAACATTTTCGGCAACAATAATTAAGTAAACAAGTCTTAACACACATTTTGAATAAACACCACGAGAATGCGAAATCCATAACGGGCAGAATATGCTCCACACCTGAAGATTGCACGATGGCATGAAACGCACATGAAACGTACATCTCTATCTATAAAAGGCAGGATGTGTGTGTGTGTGTGTGTGTGTGTGTGTGTGTGTGTGTGTGTGTGTGTGTGTGTGTGTGTGTAACGAATGCACGGCCGCAATTTTCGACGGATTTTCACCAAAATTTATATGCACATGCTTCAAGTTAGAGGAAAGGCCAAGACCGACTTTGCATTTCCCAACTCCCATCGATTATGGAAATAATCGATTTTTTCATGCTTCTACGGTAGTTTTCATATAGTTTGCAGCCATTTTGTACTGGCCAGAGTGAGAGCCTATAGCTGGCTGCCACGAAAAGGCAGGAAAATTCTATTGGCCAGCGTGAGAGCCAACAGCTGACTAAAACGAATGTTAACTAGCATGCTAGCATGCAAAAAAAAAAAAATAATAATTGATAGCTGCATTCGTCACAAGTGGGAAAAATTTAAATCTGCATGGCACTTTACTCCAATTGGCTCATTCGCTTGCTTAAACTCAACGTTGATTCTGATTCCGCACAAACTGGGTTGGGTGTGAAAAAGTATTTGTTGTTAACATTCTTTTTCATTCGGTTTTCCAGTTACGAGTCCTTTTTTAAAGCTGATCGTTTTGTGTTCATTTTGTTTAGTTCTTTTTTCGTAACAGATTTAATGTTTAGTATAGAGCTTAGAAAAAATTCGCAGTGTGAGATAGGCAAGAAGTAAGGCATGTAGCAACGTCAGCACAGCAAAGGTTACTCCTTTAAAGGCAAGGAAGGGCAAAAATATTTTAAGTCAAGTGATAGCGATTGCTGTATGAGTCGTACGATTTTTTAATCAAGCACGGGCAACGCCGGGCCATGCTGCTAGTTCACTAATATATACTTTGTTACATAACATTGAGCACTGTATTTATAACACCTGAGGAAGAAATATATTTATAGGTACATGCAAGTATATGTGCGAATATGTATATTTTTTATCATACCATACCTATATATATATATATATATATATATATATATATATATGAGTGTGTTTGTGTCTGTGCGTGTGTGTGTGTGAGAGAGAGAGAGAGAGAGAGAGGAAGGGAGGACGCACTCATTGAGATGAGCAGAAATATTTCAAAAGATATATGCGGCTTCTTTGCAACTGAGAAATTAAAGAAAAACCTTTGTAGATAAAAAGGGTCAATGGCCAGTCGGCTTCGTTTGAAAGTTAAATTAGATTTTTCGAACGGACATGTTTGGGTTTTTTGCTGCACACATGCGCACCCAGATAGATAGATAGATAGATAGATAGATAGATAGATAGATAGATAGATAGATATGTGTGTTTGCGTATAGAAATATACATATGTGTGCAATCGATTCAAACATCAAAAATGGAGAGATACGAAAGAAAAAACAATGTGCATGTATATGTATATATATATATATATATATATATATATATATATATATATATATATATATATAGATAGATAGATAGATAGATAGATAGATATTATTAGTGGTAAATATACATACATATGCAAAATATATAAATACCCATACATGTATATTTTTTGAATAAAATTCCAAGAGGATAGAATCCAGGTAGAACTCAATGTCCAGGACAGAGTAAGGATATAATAAAAGGCTTAAACACTAATATTCCATGGTCATAATTTATTCCATTGGAATCGTAAATACGATCAATTCATCAGACCTACAAATTCAAAAAAGAAAACAGAAAAAACAACTCCGGAAATCAAAACAGAATTTAGAGAGAGTGTAAGTATGAGGAGGAGGGAGATCAAACCTTAACAGAGAGAATTTTAGGAGAGGTGGGTGGAAGAAAAAAATGAATGTTGTCGGATGTCTAATGCATAAAGAGACATTTCGTGGTGACATACACACACCAATCTAATGTTAGAGTAAGAGGGAGGAAAAAGACGAGGTGGGGGAGAGAGATGGGGCGAAGGAAAGTAAAATTGCGTTTACTTAAAGGGCCGCTTTTGTAATTGAGAAAATTTGACAAATTTAATATCGACTACAGTTTACAAATAAAATATAAACATATAAAAATAAATATAACGATTATGTAATCCAGCAAGGACCTATATTTCTTATATATATATATATATATATATATATATATATATATATATATATATATTGAACAATAAAAAAAATATTAAAAAATTAAAATCTCCAGACACACTGGGTTGTAGATTAATATTCTTTCGTTTTTTTTTTTTATTATTATTTCATTTAGATTCCTCGACTAGTTTCGTCCAAAATGGCCATCATCAGGAAAAGAAATCTTTCTGCTTGCTGGTAGCAGTAAACTACAGAAATGAATGTCTTGATGGAGAAAATGAACTTTTGTCTGTAATTTTCATTTGTTTTTTTATTTTTTTTATCTTTTTAACATGAATCTTTTAACATTCCTTGTGTTGGTCAAACAGTCTCTTTTAAGTTGTTATTTGAGATAAGAGCTGGATGGATCTATGCTTCTCTGAATTCCCCTGGTCAGTTTGACAGTTTTATTGGTCCTGGAGAGGGGATGTGTCTCTGTTAAGTGTTTGTGTGTGTGGTATTTGGTTCTTAGGGAGTGAGTGAGTATGATATGTGTAAGCGTGTGTATTGCTGTGGGTGTGTGTTATCATTTGGCTCATTAGGGAGTGAGTAAGTATGATGTGTGTAAGTGTGTATATTCGTGTAGGTGTGTGTATAAGTGTGAGGCCTATATATATATATGTCTATTCTCGAAAGCTTTTGTTTGTCACTTCAAATCAGTATTATAATTAAAATTTATAATTAAAATTATAATTACAATTTTAAGACCGAACATTCATAGATATTTATTTTAAACTGAATTTTCTCAATTTTTACTCTTTTAACTAAACTTAATTCTAGAACAGTCTTCCCTTTTAAATTCAAATTATGTAAATCTCTTGTCCGCTTAACAGCCTTTTATTCATGCAACATTTGGAAATCCTCCACAAAATGTTATCCAACTCTTAGATGTATTCCATTTAACATACCTTAGCAAAAATCCTAAAGGTGTCTTGGAGAGATAGAATTAGGAATGAGAAAGTGCTAAGACGTGCAATTTCTAGAAACCTTAGTGTAATTGTGGCAGAGAAGCGGATACAGTTCCCCGGCCATATCCTACGATTACCTGATAGTCGGCCAGCTAAACTGAATACCTCAAGATTTCAAAATATCAAGGGGTCATCCTAAAATCACGTGGCGCAATAAAATTAAAGAAGTGAGAAAACATCGAATTGTTATAGGCTCCGTGACTTGCCTAAGTTGGTGGTCTTTTGCTGTGCAACAGCTGGAGAAAAAATGCAGCAAGGTACTCTGGTATGCTGGTTTATAAGGATTTCTTCATTTTTTAGATCGAATTTACCCTGTACTACTCTCGAGTCGACCCTGATCAGCATTTAGTTGACGTTTGTCTGTTCACGACCATTCATTCTTATACCACAGACCGTTGATGAAGCAAACATGGAGTGAAGATGATTCGACTATCTGGGAGCTACACAAAAGAAATAAAACAAGAATCCTTTGGAATAAAGAATTAACTCAGGTTACAAATGTAACAACAAGCATGGACGAATGGTAGACTTATAGACATGTAAGATAAATTCCTAGCAGCTGACTTAACAATGGATTATCTAATATATAACTAGAGAAGGCGAAACGAGTTACTCTCTTGGAGGTTAGCATCAGCCATATTGATGAAAAGTAGAAAGTTCTCCCAGATGATTAATAGAGATCAGGTTTATTTAACAAGCCATCTTTTGCCCCAGTTAACAACAGACTGTAGGTCGTTTTTGACATCAGCCGCCAATTTGACCATATCGAACTGATCAGACTTTGTAATGAAACAGTAATAAATGGTTGTGTCATCAGCATAGATACCAAATTGAGAGCTGATGCCATCAGGATGGTCAATGAAAAGTAAAAACAAAGTAGGACAAAGAGTAGAGCCCATTGGTGAGCCATTGAAACAAAAAGATCTAGAAGAGTGGCCATTCAGGATAACTTTCTAAATATCTAAGCTAGCTCTGTTTTTTTTTCTTTCATATTTATATGATCTAGCATTTTGATGTTTCAGCTTCTCCTTCGCATCCAGACATTGTTCAGATATTCTTCGTTTATTATATAAAATCTATTTTTCATTACCAATAACAATGAGATGTAAAATCGGTTGGATGAATAGACAGGGCGCAAAGAAGCCTTCATTTCAAATGAGTCAATATTACAACCTATTAACGGACATAAATATACCCTTCAATTTATTAAAAACTGTCACCGTATTTTCAATATACTCCTTTAAGCTGGTTTACATACAAGGTGCGATGGGTAAATTGTCGCCATTTAATTGTTTAATTTTGCGCATGCGCGTTTTTAGTTTTTGATTTTGTCGACTGCACAGTATAGTAGGATCCCTTGAACACTGCCTATGACACAAATCCCTCCGCCAGAAATTTGGAAACGGCATGCTGGACTGCTTGGCATTCGACCTGGAAGCTTCAATGCGAATATTTCAGAGTATTTGGGTGTCAATCTGAGGACAGTGCAGTGGATTTGGAGAGTTGGATGAGTTTAATGGTGATTAAGAAGGTGTTTGGAATGATGGCGGCGTTATGCTTCCATTTATCTTCTCACAGGGCGTCAGACTCAACACAGAGGCTTACATCAAATGAGGAGGTAGTGCAACGCTGGGTCAAGAGGGTGGCTGCTGGAAGACCCTATGTCTGGCAATAGCACTCTGCATCATGCCACACAAGAAGAAGAACATAGTCATGGCTGTCAGACAATTTCTGCGACCATATAAACTCTTACATATGTCCAACTAACTCTCCAGATTGCACCCCCCTTGATTATTATGATTGGGGCGTAGTTGAGTGAGAGACCAACAAAACTCCTTGTAACACCAAAGATGAATTGAAGGCTTGATTATGGCAGCATTAACCAATTTAGTCAAGGAGACCGTCCAGAATATTTGTAGGAAATTCCGAAGTCATCTGGAGTCCGTGGTTGAAGCCAATGGCAATTTTATTGAATAAATTTACTCTTTAGTATTTGAAGATATTTTTGCGTAATTTTGGTAAATATATCTGTTAAAATGAGATGTCAGAGTTATTTTCATTTTTGCGTCATTTAGACGACAATTTATCCATCGTACCTTTTATTCAGATTAATGCATACGATATTGACACCAGTTTAAACTGATGCTTTGTGGTTTAAAAAAAATACTAACTCGGAAGTCGGAATATAGGGAAAAAAGAGCCCATATGCCTCTTCCGGATGTCTCAGTTATTTCCATTTAACTCAACTCTCTGGAAGGGGGATGACACATGGAACTAGAACAATATACCCTGGTAGACGAAATAAAGGGTTAGGTTCGAAATCCCAATCACCCAAAGAAGGCCGGAGTGTGCTACGGCCGAAACGTTGTGAACATGGCAAGGAAGATGAAGATAACAGTCCGAATAATGTAAATAATGCAAGTAATCATAATACCTCATCTCAGAGATATAGACAGATCCTGAATAAGACCGGAGCGTACAATGGCCGAAACGTTATGAATATGGCCATGAAGATGAGGATAACAGTTCGAATTATGTAAATAATGCAAGTAATCATAATACCTCATCTCAGAGATATAGACAGATCCTGAATAAGACCGGAGCGTACAATGGCCGAAACGTTATGAATATGGCCATGAAGATGAGGATAACAGTTCGAATTATGTAAATAATGCAAGTAATCATAATACCTCATCTCAGAGATATAGACAGATCCTGAATAAGACCGGAGCGTACAATGGCCCGAAACGTTATGAATATGGCCATGAAGATGAGGATAACAGTTCGAATTATGTAAATAATGCAAGTAATCATAATACCTCATCTCAGAGATATAGACAGATATCAGTATTTACGCTCCGGAGAGGGAACTGGCTATGTAGCGGTATTTGGCTCCAGCTTTCTTGGATTTGCTTTTGGCTGAACTTTTTTGTTTCTTGTTTCAGTTTTCTGGTTGATTTTGTGGCAGTTGTATTTACTTCAGTGCTATTTTCAACATTTAATCTGAATTCACTTGCATATTTATGGGATTTTGATACAGTAAAAAAAAAAGAAGCTTTTTGCTTTTTTTTTTCATATTCCATTACGTGTCGTAAGACCCAATCTTGGCATAGCTGCAAGGTACTTATAAAGCCCGAGCGTTGAAATTTTCTAAGACAATTCTAGTTGAATCTTTCCACTACCCCACTGTCTCCCTGGCAGATAAAGACGGTCAACATCTGCCTTAGGGTGGCGCATTCAAATAGCATGATTTGTTTGCAAATTTGGGCATTAATTTTCTTTAAGATC